CTGCATTGAGTATGCTCCACGTACTGTCCTGGGTCTTGTCAAGGGAGCAAATCAGTCAGCGGCCAGCAGAAGCAGAGGGTGCACTCGAATTGGGAGCTTTGAGAACAGCTCAATAGAGAGACCATTTGCAAAGGTGTGGGTGAGATGTAGAGAAAACACAGGTGACAGTGGGGCTGACAACCTCTGGGACTGAAGCAACAAAGAGACAGAGCCTTTACCAGGGCCTTTGGAGAGGGCTGCACAGAAGGAGCTAGGGCCTTTGGTGACAAGACATGGCCAGCTCACGCTGACCCTAGCAGAGTCACTGTTCTCCTGCTCCAGCCTCATGTTTTTCATAGGCTGAAACCTACCAGAACCAGAGGGCAGTGGAGCCCCGTGACCACAACCCACCTGAGTCAGATCAGCCTCCCAGACACTCAGCAGGGTCAAAAAAAGTAGAGAGTGACTGGGTCAGGAGAGCATTGGGCTTTATTCACTTAATCCTCAACAACCACCTTATGAATGAGGTATCATTATTACCTCCCTTTTACAAATGGGGAAACTGAGGCCCAGCGAGAACCATGAAACCATTTACATATTTAAAATATATAAATTTGTAAAGAAGTACTACTTAGATCCTCTAAAATGAGATTACCCAAATTATTGGAAGTAAGCTACTTCTACTGAGTTGTAAATACAAGTCTATATTAGAGTTTAACATACATGACAGCTCATGCTCCCATGAGGTGCATATTCTGATGATTTCAGTTTTACTGTTGAAGAACCAGAGGCTTAATGAGGTTGAACTATGTGACTTCTAGGATCCTTTGAAATCAAAATAGTCTCTAATGCAGTGACTACTTTAACCATTACTTTTGATTTGTAAAAACAGAACTATAAAAAGTCCCCACCACTAACAACAAAAATTTGTGCTGAAATAACAAAACTCTTTCCACTGAAATTTACCACTGCAGTAAATCCTTCCACTGAGTGACACTAAGGTGACTGACATCAGTGAGAATAGCACCAGCAATAGAAAATCAGGGGCAAATATGTTCTGCCCCTCTTAATTGTATTCCTGGCCATCATACCTAAAACTCCCACTTTCATCCCTCCTCTACATTCTAAGACCGAAGCTTCTAGGAGAAAAAGAAAAGGTTTTCCTGAAGCAATGACATCTCACAGGGTTGGCCATGGTATTAGTTGAGATTTTGCCCAATACAAACTAAAGGAAATCCAACTCAGACTCGCTAAAGCTAAAAGACAATCTGTTAGCTCGTGTCCTAGGATAAGGCTGGCTTCAGGTATCCATTGATTCAGGGCTCAAAGGGTGTCACCAGGAACCAGCTTCCCTCTCTGTGTCTTGACAGTACTCGCTTGATGTTGGCCTCATTCTAAGCCTCATGTAGTTGCCAAGTGGCTGCCAACAGCTCCTTGGACCACATTCCATCCAGCATCATATCCAGCAGAAAAGCAAGCAGGATTGTACTGCTTCAGTAATTCAAATGAAAATCCTAGCATTGAGTCTTTTGGGCCCTGATTGGCAAGGTGTGGATCACACAGCTACTATGGCCAAGGGAATGGAATATCCCAATGGGGGCAGGGTTTGACCCTCTGCTATACCACAAGGACTGAGACTGGAAAAGGGATGATCCTATAGAAGCATGAGGGCTGCTGCCAAAAGAATGGAGAAAGGATGCTGGGGAAAAAACAGCCCATGTCTGCCATAGTCATCAATACCTTATCAACAGTCATCAATACCTTATCAACAGTCATCAATACCAGAAATATGGACCAGGGAACCTCCACAACCCAGAAACTGGCTACAGGAATCCCAAAGTTCTCCAAGCCACAGAATTTGAGGATATGTCAGTAATCTCCTTTTCCCACTCATCTCCCCCAGCTGTTCCCACCTATCCCAACCTTCTTAACTTGGAGAAGGGGCTACAAAGGTGGAAAATGTGCCTCCCAACACAATCCCCTTCAGTTTTCCACTCTGTTCTTAGAGGATTCCTCCCCTTGTCCCTTGCATCTGAGCTTGAATGTGATGCTTTCCCTGAAGCCATCTCTAATAAAATCCATCCCTTCCCAACTTCCCCAAGAGTCAAATGTCCCTGTTTTATGTACTCAACAAAATTTGTACACACATCGTATTGAAAGTATTTATTTACACACCTGTCCCTCATATTCAGCAGTCACACACACTCACTCCACTCACACCTAACGGGATTAGAAGTTGTTTGAGGGCAGAGGTTTGTTTTCGTTCTTCTCTGAGCCCCTAACGTGCAGCATAACATCAGGGATAGTACTCAGGAATGAATGAATGAATGAATGAATGAAAACTTTCTACAGCTCTATACCATTAAACAAATATCACAGCATGCATTAGCACATTTAGTCAATCAACATTATTTAGTAAACTCCTATTGTACAGACAACAGACACAAACAAATGATTGAAAATAAAATCAGTAAAAGGAAAAGCAATGGTATGTGTATTCTCCTCATTTCAAAATAGAAAAGCCCTGAAATAAAAAAGAACGTGCTTTTTTTTTCTTTCTCTTTTTGAGACAGTCTCACTCTGTTGCCCAGGTTAGAGTGCAGTGGCACAATCTCGGCTCACTGCAACCTCCACCTCCCAGGTTCAAGCGATTCTCCTGCCTCAGCCTTAGTAGCTGGGATTACAGGTACACGTCACCATGCTCGGCTAATTTTTGTATTGTTGTTTTTGTATTTGTATTTTTATTTATTTATTTTTCTTTTGGAGACAGAATCTTGCTCTGTCACCCAGGCTGGAATGCAGTGGCACGATCTCAGCTCACTGCAACCTCCACCTCATGGGTTCAAGTGATTCTTATGCCTCGGCCTCCTGAGTAGCTGGGATTACAGGTGTGCACCACCATGCCTGGCGAATTTTTCTTTGTATTTTTAGTAGAGACGGAGTTTTACCATGTTGCCCAGGCTGGTCTCGACCTCCTGAGCTCAGGCAATTCACCCACCTCGGCCTCCCAAAGTGCTAGGATTACAGGCGTGAGCCACCACGCCCGGACTAATTTTTACATTTTTAGTAGAGATGGGGTTTCACCATGTTGGCGAGGCTGGTCTCGAACTCCTGACCTCAAGTGACCTGCCCAGCTCAGCCTCCCAAAGTGCTGGGATTACAGGTGTGAGCCACTGTGCCTGGCTGTAGGTGTACTCTTGTGAGGGCGCCATACCCTCAGGAAGGGGAAAGGGGGCCTAAAAGAGCCTGAGAAGCCACTGTGAAGTCTGGGGGAGGAAATGTGCTGGGTTTGTCCCCCAGGTGCAATGCTCAGCATGGTCTAGGGGCTAACAATGAGTTGTGAAAGCACAAGCCAGAGATCAGATTTCAAAGACAGAGTCCTGTGCTGGAGTCTTGACTTTGCTCCTTTCTATGGGATCTCAGTCAGGGTATACAACCTCTCTGGGCCTCCATTTTCTTGTTTGGAAAATGGGGACCATCACCCCCACGAGCTGCTCAGGCCTCTATTGACCCACTATCCTTGATGTCTCTCTTCTTTTTCTCCCACACCTTCAATCTGTCAGTGAGCCCACCTGCTACATCTAGACTCCTACTTCCGAACTTCCATCTGGACCACCACTGTGACCAGAACCCCTTGAAAAATACTCAGTTCCTTAAGTTCTATTACCAAGTGGTGGAGTTGGATGGGGCAGTGAGCTTCACTTCCAACACTCATCTGAGCCTGTCTTTGCCTGAGGCAGGATGGAGAGGGAGAACCATACCCTGAGGTCAGCAGCAGCTTCCTGGCCAGTTTCCTTCCTTCTGTATCCTGTCGCAGCCCTTTCAACCTCTTCCCTAGCCAGCCCCCAAAGCAACGGTGTAAACACAGAGTCAGATCCCAGCTTCTCCTGCCTCATACTCCAGGGGCTTTCCCCATGGCCACAAAGCCCTCCATGCTTAACCCGGCTTCCTTCCCTGCCATGTGGACTCCACTCCCCACCCACCTGCTTCTTCTGTTCCAGCTTGCTGGCCTTTATCGTCCGCCTGCACGTGTCCAAGGTGCTCCCATCTTGGGACTCTGCCCCTGCTTATTCCCTCTGCAGGAGAGCTCGCTCCTGCATCTTTTCTGCTGAATCCTTGGTGACATTCAGCAATCAGCTCAGCGGGACCTTCCCTGACCACTCATTCCAAATTGAGCAGAGCACAAGCTCTCTCTGCCACCTTCCTCTTTTATTTTCTTCATAACACTGATTGCTACTTCAAGTCATCTAACTCATTTGCTTAATTGCACATGAACTAGAATGTAAGCTTCACAAAGGCAGGGATGAAATTCGTCTTGTTCACCACTTTGTCTCCAGACCCTAGAATAGTGCCTGACACATAATAAATGCTCAATAAATATTTGATGAATGAAAGAAGGAAGGAAAGAAAGGAGGGAGGGAGGGAGGGAAGGAGCACCTCCCTCAAAGGGTGATTATAAAGACTCAAGCATTTACATAAAGCACAGAGATCATAAATCCAGGCACAGTCCGGGAACTATGACTCAAGCCTGTAATCCCAGCACTTTGGGAGGCTGAGGTGAGCGGATCACTTGAGGTCAGGAGTTCAAGACCAGCCTGGCCAACATGGTGAAACCCTGTCTCTACCAAAAATACAAAAATTAGTGAGGCGTGGTGGCACATGCCTGTAATCCCAGCTACTTGGGAGGCTGAGGTAGGAGCATTGCTTGACCTGGGAGGCAGAGGTTGCATTGAGCTGAGATCGCACCACTGTACTCCAGCCTGGGCGACAGAGCGAGACTCCATCTCAAAAAATCAACCAATCAATCAATCAATCGGTCTAGGCACATAGCCTGGACCCCAGGAAGTACTTAATACATGGTCTTTATTATTCAGTTTCTAGGGTAGAAGAGTGGGTAGAATGCCCACATGCACACACATGCACGCATACACAGACAGCACACACGTGCACACATGCACACACACACGAACACACGCGAGGAAGGAAAGCAGAGGAAGTGCCCCCACTTTGCCTGGACTCACCTGGCTTGTGCAGAGAACATTTGAGGCCCCTGACTAAACAGCAACCCCCTGGGCTTCCCTGGATCTGATGCTTGAACCCAGTTCAGACCCCGAGAGTTTGGAGTTCATTTTCTTTTGGCAAACCATCAGCTTTTCTTTTCTAAGGGAAAAAATAAAATACAAAAAGACACTCATATAACATCTTGGAGATCAAATGGCTCTTGGAAAACTGCATTTTGATGAGTGAGGGAATCAAAACCATATGGATTAAATTCTCCTTAGATCTCCTAGGGGGAAATGGGAGCGGGGAGCAGGGTTAGGGCAGAAGGGCTAGTGGTGGAAGCCAGCATTGATTTTTACCAACACAAAGACGGTGCAGGAAGGACCCACCGAGATGTGTCAGGTCCTTCAAAGCAATTTGTTGACCACACTCCAACTGGCTCAACAAGGAGGAAAATGTGAACTTAAAAAAATACAAACACCCTGCTTCTTTTCTCCTGGTTTCCCCTCCCCAGTTTGGCCGAGCACTGGGATCTTGTTAGTGACCAGCAAAAAGGTAGTGGATGGACATTAAGCTTGTATAATTTATTTCAGAAATCAGCCTTTAAGTTTCTCCCCGAGGAAAGGGTCTGAAATACCTGCTGAAGTCAAATATTTGTAAACTGGTACTCAAGGTGACTGTTTTTGTTTTGTTTTGTTTTTTAAAACAGGGTCTCACTCTGTCACCCAGGCTGCAGTGTGGTGGCCTGATCACGGTCCACTGCAGCCTCCACGTCCTGGGCTCAAGCAATCCTCCCACTTCAGCCTCTCGAGAAGCTGGAATTACAGGCCTGTGACACTGTGCCCGGTTAAGTTTTTACAATTTTTTGTAGAGATGAAGTCTCACTATGTTGCCCATACGGGAGTGTTTGCTCGTTTTTATTTATTTACTGTTGAGACGAAGTCTCACACACTCTGTCACCCAGGCTGGAGTGCGGTGGCACAACCTCAGCTCACTGCAACCTCTGCTGCCCAGGTACAAGTGATTCTCCCACCTCAGCCTCCCGAGTAGCTGGGATTACTGGCACATGCCACCATGCCCACCTAATTTTTGTATTTTTAGTAGAGATGGAGTTTCACAGTGTTGGCCAGGCTGGTCTTGAACTCTTGACCTCAAGTGATCCGCTCACCTCAGCCTCCCAAAGTGCTGGGATTACAGGTGTGAGCCACCACGCCTGGCCTTGGAGTGTTCATTTTTTAATGGTCATGTTCCTATCCACATTCTGCTAATGCTGGCATGTTGCAGAAGGCAGACTGGAAGAGACTGGATAAATAAAGCATGATTCATGCTGTCGTTTGCTGCAAGAGGAACAAGTGCTTCCACTTTTTTTTTACCTAAAGGCAGAGAAAACTCAAAAGTTGTTTCCTTTGTTCTTCTCGTCCTGATCTCCTGGGAGCAGGTGATGTACAGGTCACCAGTCTGTGTGATGTGGTGAATACAGATGGCACTTCCTGAGTGCTTTACACTGTATGAGGTTTTGGGCATCATCTCATTTCATCCTGCCAAACCATTGCAAAGGGGCCGCTGTTATTCTCATTGTACAGACAAGAAAACGAAGGCACAAAGAAGTTAAGCAACTTAACTCAGGTCATACAGCTAGTAGCGGCAGAGCTAGGATTTAAACTAAGGGTTTTGCCAATGCCAGAGCCTATATTCCTAAGCATTATTTCCCTCAAAATTTATCCTGTGCTTTGAGAATTCGTGTCTTTGCTTTTGCTGTTCCATGCATCCAAAAAGCCTTTTCCACTATCCTTGTATTTCCTCCAGCCACCTGATGAAATATTCCCCACCCTCCAAGCTGGGTTTTATGTGTCCATGGTAACCCCCAAATCAGTTCTGCCACCTCGGAACGCCAAAATGTCTCGTGACCCTCTGGGGCTGACCGACCGCTCTCCATCATAAACACAGTTTAGTATGATGGTCAGGAGCCCAAGCTTTAAATGAGACAGACTTGTTTTTTGTTTGTTTGTTTTTGTTTTTGTTTTGACACAGGGTCTCGCTCTGTCACCCAGGCTGGAGTGCAGTGGTGCAATCATGAGTCCCTGCAGCCTTGAACCCCTGGGTTCAAGCAATCCTCCCACCTCAGCCTCCCAAGTATCTGGGACTATAGGCGCACACCACCATGCCAGGCTAATATTTTTTTCTTATTTTTAGTAGAGTGGCTGTGGCAGGGGGCTCTCACCATGCTGCCCTGGCTGGTCTTGAACTGCTGGGCTCAAGTGGTCCTTCCACCATCGGCCTCCCAAAGTGCTGGGATTATAGGCATGAGCCACCACGCCTGGCTGCCAAAGTTGCATTGAATCCTCTGTGTACTATAAATGTACAAATCACTCCAAGACTCAGATTCCTCATCTAGAAATGTGGGAAGAATGAAGCAACCCAGGGTGAGCAAGCAACACGCCAGCTAACGCATGCAAGGCACAGAGCAAGGGTACGATCCATGTCAGCTGCTGCTTTCTAGTGATTTGGGCGCTTGTTTGAGCTCCTTCACCTGACTGTAAATTTTCCCAGCAAATATAATCGTCACCGATTCAGGCATTGATTGGATTAGGCATTTCACTGACTGAGTTTGGAGAGGAAGAGAGAAGAAAGCGGACTGGCGGGAGCAGTAGATGGAAGCAAGGCTCAGAGGGAATAAATGCAGCCAATGTGGAGTGAGTGCTTTTCATGTGACAGGGTTTCCAAGATGAATTAACCTCACCACCACACTGAGTAATAAGTGCTGTTAGTATCCCCATTTTACAGATGAAAAAACTGAGGCCCAGGGAGGTGAAGTGACTCGCCCAAAGCCACATATCAAATAAGTGCAGAGTCAGGAATCGAACCTAGACATTCTGGGTCCAAAGGCCAAGATCTTACCTGCTTAAAAACTTACAGATTGTCCCCCAAAGAGGGGATCTTAAAGCTTTTAAGTAGTAATAAAACAAAGAGGCTAGGAGTAGCCAGTCTGGATTGACAGGATTTTGACAGGTACAAATGTTGGGATAAGTTTGGCAGTGCTTTCCTAGGAGTTTATTCAATTCGGAGAAGTGGTAGGAACTCCCCCAAGAAGCCATGGCCACTTTGAGGTTGCACATAGACTTGATAATAAAACAGGTAAAATGCTGATGGGGTAGGGAGGCTTCATGGCAGGGGAGGGGGGGTCTGTGCATGTATTTTACCATGGCCATACATATTTTCCTGTTTTTTCTTGAAGGGCTTGATTTAACGCATACCTCAAGGTAAGAGTCAGTAAATAACTTCATGACTAGGGAAAACTTTAGAGACCACTATGATGTGAAACATCTAAATTAGTCCTAAAAAGGTGAGGGATCAAGGAAGGCTTCCAAGAGGAAGGGACGGCCAAACTGAAACCAGAGGCTGAGTCGGAGTCTGCTTACTAGGGAAGACACTTTGGGGAGGTTCACTCAACAGTCATTTCCAAACCTTTTCTCCCCTGTCCTCCCCTGTGGAACCTTGAAGAGCTAAATAGCTCCCAGGGCCGGGCAGAGTGGCTCACACCTATAATCCCAGCAGTTTGAGAGGCCAAGGCAGGTGGACAACCTGAGGTCAGGAGTTCGAGACCAGCCTGGCCAACATGGTGAAACCCTATCTCTACCAAAAATACAAAAATTAGCCAGGTGCAGTGGTTCACACCTGTAAACCCAGCTACTCAGGAGCCTGGGAGGCTGAGGAGAGAACATCACTTGAACGCAGGAGGTGGAGGTTGCACTGAGCCAAGATTGCACCACTGCACTCCAGCATGGGCTACAGAGTGAGACTCTGTCCATACATACATACATACATACATACATACATATGTACAAACATACATAGCTTCTCAGCCTTCATTGAAGCTAGAGGTGTCCAAGTTCAGCCAAGATAACTCCAACAGAAGCCTGCTGGAGGTGTTTCTGAAAAAAATTTCACTTTTCTCATGAAAGAGACAGGAATGGCTGGCTTAGCCCTGTCCCATTCTTCTTGCCTTGAAGATGGATGTAATGCCCGGAGCTGCAGCAACCATCTCATGACCATGAGGTAATCAAGGTTGGGATGAAAGATAATAGAATGTCACAGAATCAGCCCTGGCATCATCATACTGCTGAAGCAATGCTCGTTACTGCCCACTTCTACATTTCTGATGTCATGGGAGGGTCTTACCTGCCAAAGAGCTGCAGGGAAAGAACTGCTATTTGAGTCACTTTAAGTCTGTTTTTTTCCCCATTCCTTACGATTGAAAACATTTCTAACTCATGCACTAGGCAAAGTGGGAAATATAGATAGGGAGACACACAAGCTAACATGTTGCAGGCAGAGGGTCTGCACCAGATGGTAGAAGACTGTGGCATTTTCAAACAAAACAGAAGCAACGTAACCAAAGTTTATGTTGCTGGTGTGACTGGTGGCTAGTGGGTGCTGGCTGTGGCGAGCAACATGACTGGACGGTTACACAGGAGCTACGTCAGGCAGGGCCTTGTACAACTTGTAAGTTTAGAATTTGGACATTATAACAATGAGGCACCATGGAAAGCTGTGTGTGTGTGCGTGTGTGTGTGTGCGTGTGCACATGTGTGTGTGTGTGTGTGTGTCTAATCAGGGTAGTGACTGGGATAAAGTTAAGTCCTTAAAAGACTCTTCTGGCTAGAGTTCACTTATTCGGTAAACACTTATGAGCATGGGAAAGTAAACTGGTCCAACTACTTTGGAAAACTGTATTGAAGTATCCACTAATACCAAACATCCATTACCCTACAAGCCAACACTCTCACTACCAAGTACACACCCAAGAGAAATGAATGCACATGTCCACCAAGAGAGGAGTCCAAGAATGCTCCTAGCAGCTTTATTCATGAGAGTTAAAAACCAGTCACAGCCCGAATGCCCGTCAGGTCTAGAAGAGCTAAACTGTGCACATACTCATGCACTGGAATCCCACATGGCAATAAATGAAAAGGATACATGATTGCTAAATGCAACATGAGTGAAAATCATGGGCCTAGTGAAGCCTTCAGAGAAGAGTTCACATTTGTGTCAACCCAAGAAGCAGATGCCAGGATTAAATGTCCAAGAGCTGTATTAAGAGAAACACCTGAGAGGGAAGATGAGGAGGGAGCCAGGAGAAGCAGGGAATCGTCAGACTGAGATGCTGGTCTGCCCCTCAGGAAGGAGAGAGGGAAAGAAGGAATGCTGAATGGGAACATCTTAGACTACAGTGCAGTTTATTTATTTATTTATTTATTTATTTATTTTCACTCTGTTGACCAGACTGGAGTGCAGTGGCATGATCCTGGCTCACTGCAACCTCTGTCTCCCAGGTTCAAGCAATTCTTCTGCCTCAGCCTCCAGAGCAGCTGGGATTACAGGCACCCACCACCACACCAGACTCATTTTTGTATTTTTAGTAGAGATGAGGTTTCACCATGTTGGCCAGGCTAGTCTGGAGCTCCTGATCTCAAGCAATCCGCCCCCCTCGACCTCCCAAGGTGCTGGGATTACAGGCATGAGCTACCGCGCCTGGCCTACAGTGCAGTTCTAAGGAAGGTTGGCAAGGACAGTTGGGAGTCCTTGAGCCAAAATCGCTGTCAGAGGTGTTCCCTACCTCCTGGGAATGGGCCCGCACTAGCATCCCTGCTATACCCAGTCCAAGGGAAGAGCAGCCTGCGGGAAGATTTCCCTGTGCAAATGTTCTGATGGATTTTAGAGCCCAGCAAAATCGACTACGGGTCAACCCCAGCAACCAGAGATGCATTTTTATGGCCACCATAGCAGTGAACAGTTCCATATAGAAAGGTCAAGAACAGGCAAAATCAATGTAATGCAATGTGATAAAACTAGAATGGTGGTTACTTCCCGAATGGGTTAGGGTTGGGGGTTTGAGAAGAGGGCATGAAGAGGCTCCCTGAGTGGCTGGGAACATTCTATATTTGATGCAGGTGGTGACTACATGAGTAAAAATGTCTTTTGTGATATCACCTAAGGTTTGGACACCTTATGTACCTCCACGTGAAAAATTTTTTAAAAAGTATTTGTGTGCATGTACTGTATGTCAAATGCTGTGCTCAGCCCTGGGTGCACTGTGGTGAAAGATGCAATCAGGGACACCATATCCAAGGGACATACGGCAAAGAGGATACTGTAGAACATGAAACTAAGACAAGGAGCCTCATTAAGAAGCTAGCACAGAGTTGCCACTGAGAAGGGCAGCACCAGTGACGCGGGACACAGGAGACTGCAGACATTCAAGTCCAAGACATATTTCTCTAAAAATTCTTAAAAAGAGAGTAAGACAAAACGACTGACTTGTGAGAAACGGCAACTAGAGATATGAAAGCAACTCAGGAACCATCGGAACTGCTTACAAAGGAAAACGTTTTTGGAGAGATCAATTACAGCAGAATTTCGTGCGGTTGTTCACTGCTGGGACCTCAGGGAGCCCTGAGCCCTGGGAATTACATCTTTCTGGAGTCAGGCTCATCTCCCTGGGCCCAGCAATCAGTTTCAT